CACACTCCGCAGTCGTTGCCAGCGCCATGACGGCTCTTCTGGCGTCCCGGAACGCTAGAACGGACGAGGAAGAGGAAGACCCGGACGATCCCGGTTCGGACGACGACGACACCGGCCGTTCGGACAGTGACTCGGACGATTTTCTGGAGCTGGAAGCGGAATGTCGGCTGACAGCGACTTAGACTCTGATGAGTCCGACCCTGGGTGGGGCGGTGTCGGTGGGGTCAATGCCCAGGACGATGCAAACTCTGAGGGCGAAGCATGGTTCTGACCGAGTTTCATCAGGTGTGTTTGGCTATCCTATCGCTGTTCATTTTTCTTCTTGTGTAGACGTGTGCGAGTGTTGATGTCGCCTATATTTTGTTCGTCGCCTAGTGATCATGTTGGTGTATCGCGCCGGTGCCATACCGAGCCCACATGATGCGGTCTGCGTATCGTGTTTCAGGAAACAAACTTCCGCGAGATGATTTCGTCCAATGGTGGCTCCCCCGTTCGGCGTTGGTCAGGACTTACTGGCTTCGACCCCCAGCTTGGGTTTCGAGCATGTTTCCGGGTGAAGCGGATATCGGCTGCGGCAACAATGGCGTTGGCGCAGGGTTTAGGCAGTGGCACGGCGGGGTTTCGGGAGTATTGATTATGTCTCCCTGCGCTTATTGTTCCCCCGCGTCCGGGAATGTAGTGATTCAAGTGGTTGTATTTTTTCAAGGTTACATATGCTGTAGATATACAGTGTCGGATTCCTTTACTCGTCAAGTTTAGAGTTCTTGCGTTGGGCCTAGGGTATCATCATGGTGTGCACAAAGATAGATACACACACGGCAAACGACGTTGTTTTTGGAGCTTCACCCTCCTTTTTTTTTAGTGCATATTCTCTGCGTTAGTAGGTCCACCTGACGAATTATCTCACGTTCNGGAAACACGCGAACTCACGTAGCGGTACTTCGAATATGTTGTGTTTCGGTCTGTTTCGTTCTTTACTTGTTTTCGAAAGACGCACGACGACACAACTCCATTAACCAGTCGGATTTCACCGGAGTACAAAAGGGACACATGCCCGTGCGGGCCCCAACGGGGCATCCTGACGGCCGCAGCTGCTGCTGCGTGCGTGTGCTCCGTATTTTTCTTATGCATACGTGACTTTGTCTTTCGATGTGTGTGTGTATAGCGGCGCAACACTACAGGACACTGCTGTAGGAGATAAAGTAACCGTTTTCAGTTCAAATATGGGCGCACGCCATTTGCAGTTACTTCACCTGTACTGCGTGTTGCACCAAAGTTCAAATTGCAGTAGAACCGCAAGCCTCACAGCAAGCCCATCCTGTGTCTCATACCACGAGTAGCGCGTCCAAAGATAAGCACGCTTGATCCGCGCAATACCTCGTTTTCCAAGCGATAAGTACCTCTCTGTCTCGGAAGCACTTCTGTGCAAAATACTCGATATCTGTACTCCTCGTGTCATTGTTCGTGATTGTGTAAAGTTTCGTGTCGATCGGTTAGGAATAGGGCGCGTTCTCGTGTTAAGCTTGCCGCGCGTGGTACAGGAGGTTTGGCCGCAGCAGGGGCATGGATCACATTTTTTCGGCAGAGTCTCGAAGCCTGCGCCGAGCAGTTCTCGCGCTATTGTCAACGAAATTCCGTGAAACCAGCTTCCCTGAATAGCTACTGGTCTATTCCACTGCTGTACGCCGACAAAGGTGGCAGTGCGGACGTCTGATCGCCGGTGGGCTAGCCAACTGCCATTGTTTGTGTTGAGCCGCTTATTTTTTTTTTTATCAGGCGTGCAGCACTGGTTCGCGATTCGCGATGTACATGTACATACATGGATATACCTGTAGGCGTTCTGAGAGTAGTCTTCCAGTCTGCGCAACCCCCTCGTCCGTCCTTCATACAGCTATCTCTCCCTGTCTTGTCGCTGTCTTGGCCTGTTATCCAACTTTTCTGACTCTCATCTCAGTCCGCGGACCAGACAGAACAACACAAGGCAGCCATCTTTTTTGCTAAGGCAGGGAGGTGGAGAGAGAGGAGGAGCCTCGCAGAACGCATTTGCCCGTCGGTGGCCTCTTCTTCGACTGCAGCACGCTCACACAGGTGTGAGCAATCGCAATGTGTCTTGCTACCGTGCTGTGAACGGCGCGGTGTCGTAGGCAGCCGGGGTACTCTGTCGAATTGATGATGTAGCCAAAACAAGTTGTGCCGCATGTTCGACTGCTGCTCGGAGTTCCTTTGGTCCCATACTGTAATGGTACCCGTTTATATCACACCGTGGTAGATTATCCCGTACGGTGCCACGCGGTTCTTGGCCGCGGCATCTCAAAATACATCCACAGAACAATAGGGCCGCCACCATGGCTGCTGGATATTAGGAGAAACAAATATACACACAGAAAGACTACCCGTTCGAGGTATAACTACACTCGAAGGGGATGTGTTGAAGTCTTTATATGGACAACGAAGACCTACGGCACTCTGTTGTAACTGATTTCGTCTCCGCTATCGCTGTACAGCATCAGTACTGTAGCACACCCACCACCATTCAGCACACCCTCTACACAGGACTGCTATCGCAAATGGGTCACTGCACTGCTGTCTCTCTTCGTTCCTTCTCCTGCGCTACAAGATGGCTTGTCTCACAACCGTGTATTGTGTTTAGTTCGAGGAAGAACGTGTTAGGCTTGCACAAACTCAAAATATGCCAAGTCACCAGTTGGTTTCAATCCACTTACTGAAAAGACTTCACCACATCCCTTTCGACTGAGGTTATATCTCGAACGGGTAGTCTTTCTGTGAGGTTATGTTGACAGTGGGGGCTACGGTTTAAGAGAGGGGTGTTGTTGTTGTTGTTGTTGTTGTTGTTGTGTCTCACATTAGCTCTAAAAAAGAAAGATTGGGAGCCCGTGGTCTCAAAACCCGGCATACACGACCCCACGAAGAAACAGAAAAAATAGGGTACAAAAACCACTCGGAAGAGAAACAAAATGATAAGAAAGACCAGCTACCGCACCAAACGAGAAAGAGCGTCGAGGAGACCGATCAAAATAAAATAAAAGGAGAACGGGGAACGCTTCCCACACCCGCCTACAACGCCGGAGGGTTCCGTGCCGGGTTCCCGCCGACCAGGCATCCCCCGCCCTGCACCACACCCCAGGGGGTGCAGCAAGACGGGGGGCGAAAAACAAACACATATATAT